CCTGCTGGGCGCAGGGGACCGGACTCTGCCGGCGTTCTCTCCCTGGCTGGAGGGCGCAGGAGCAGAGCCCTGAGCCTGGGACACGGTGTGGCCAGCAGAGGGGAGCGGAGAGCCCAAAGCTTAGCCTGGGGTGCACAGCGAACGCAAGCTCCTTCCTGGGTGCGTGCTAGGACGGGGAGCAGGAGCCTGTCACCCAGCCACCCCACCCGCTACGTTCCCAGGCACTGGTAACAGGCCAAACCTGTTGGAGCCGCTAGCCCGCCTCTCTGCCCGGGGGAGGCCCAGCTTGTCCAAGGAGGGGGTGCGACCCACCCCAAGCAGGTCTGAGCAGTGAGAGGAGACGTGTGGGTCTAGGAGCCCCTGGGCAACTGGCTCTGATCTCTGCATATCGCTCGGGCAGCAGGCCCGAACAGGCCCGAGGACAGCAGCTGGGACCCATGGGACTCAGCCATCTGACTGCCAGCTCCCCTCCCTGTCCTGGGCCTGTCCCCTGTCCCAGGGCTGGTCCTCATGTCCCATGTTTGTCTGTCTTCCACAGGACAGGAGCGATTTTGTCTGTACAAAGTGCAAACTGGTCTCCATATTGGAAGAGAAGGTTCGAGGTCTGGAGAAACAAGTATCGACCCTGCGTTGCATAAGAGAAAATGAAGATTTTCTACGTCTACGGGCACAACGTTCTGAAGAATCAGAGCAGGCTGCGCAGTGGGGACAGAGGGACGGTGAAGAAATCTGGCAGCATGTGACCTCCAGAAGAAGAAAGAGGAGCGTCCACGTACCAGCAATGCAGAGACGGGTGAGCAACCGTCTTCATGTTCTCTCCACAGGTACTAATGCGGAGAGTGGACTAGATGATACATCTGAGGGAAGGGAGCAGGAGATTCCACCGATTGGAAGGCATGAGATGCGCTGTCCTAGGGATGGGGGTTCCACGGCCACCGCTCCCAAGAGAAGGAGGCGGATGGTGGTGGTCGGGGACTCCCTCCTCAGGGGGACTGAGTCATCTATCTGCCATCCCAACCGGGAAAATCGAGAAGTGTGCTGCTTGCCAGGAGCTAGGATTCACAATGTGACAGAGAGACTGCTGAGACTCATCAAGCCCTTGGATCGCTACCCCTTCCTGCTTCTCCACGTGGGCACCAATGATACTGCCAAGAATGACCTTGAGCGGATCACTGCAGACTATGTGGCTCTGGGAAGAAGGATCAAGGAGTTTGAGGCGCAAGTGGTGTTCTCATCCATCCTCCCTGTGGAAGGAAAAGGGCTGGGTAGAGACCATCGAATCGTGGAAGTCAACAAATGGCTACGCAGGTGGTGTCAGAGAGAAGGCTTTGGATTCTTCGACCATGGGATGGTTTTTTTAAGAAGGAGGAATGCTAGGCAGAGACGGGCTCCACCTAACGAAGAGAGGGAAGAGCATCTTCGCAAGCAGGCTGGC